ATGTGTAATTTGCACCGGTGTTACACTTTTTGCACTGGTGTTACACTTGAACTGCACTGCTCTCAGCCAATCAGAATTGAGTAATTTTTCCACATATATTATTAAGCTTACAATATAAAAAAGTTAGTTTTTCCAGTTGCCCAAAGTCAAAAGTTAGTCACCTGGGGCACCTGGGCACCTCTAGAGCACAGCCCTTCTTTGATCTTAAATTATAAGCTATTAAATTTGAAACGTAATTAAAATAAAGCAAATTAAAGAATTCTCTCCATGTAACCATTATTTTTGATGTGTGTGTTCTGTATAGTATTCAAATCAATACATTTCAAACAAGAATTTTAAGCATAGTTTCTTAAATCATGATATATTGTAGTCTGTATGTCACTCAAATTTATGCAAATATTACAAAGTGGGGTTCACGGTGCTCATTATTTTGCTGTCAAGTTTAGCTTGAAAGAAATCCTTTAATGTTGTGTATGTGCACAGACACCAATGATGCAAAAATGGCTTACAGCAAGGATGTACAATACAATTCAGTGGATTATAAACAAATTGTGCATATATAGAAATAAAACCTTCGTAGGATGTGCAAACACACAGCCGGTTGCCTCCTTGGGATGTACAGACTTAAGTTTAACAGGGCTTCTGATATTTCACATGGTCGTGGTGGTGCATATTTGAAGTAAAGCTGCGAAATCCTGCAAAATTCACAAAAACATGCAAAACACCATGAAATTCACTAGGTATCGTACTGTGTCGGTAGAGCACATTTAAAACTTATCTTGGCTGTTGGGGCTGTTTACTTGCTGTAAACTTGCAAATTTATTGTGAAACTTTGTCACTGCGAAGAGTAAACAACATCCAAAAACTGCCAGGCATTCTTAGATTACTGCTGAAAAAAACTGAGCACTCACTGTAGCCATGCTGTTAAAAAGATTTGCCATTGGTGCATTTCTTGAGCACATTGTTGTTAAAAGAGCAAATGATGATCTCTGTTGAAAAGAATCTCATGGTCAAACAAATAGGAGGTCTGGAAGACCAAAAAATTCAAAGAAATGTATAAAGTTTAATTGGAATTTCCACCGGGGTGGTGGGTCTTATAAAAAATCCCTTCAGTGGAGGAGCTATGGATAATTTCTGGAATTACACAGTACAGCAAGGCCAAGGTTTGAGATTTTCCATGTAAAAACCACATGTTTGTGGTTGATACGTTGTTAATTCATTAAAATATATGGCTTTTTGCTTTGTTTTTGCAAGCCTGTAATCGGCCCGTGGGCATTACGGGAGAAAACTGCCCTACAGTTAGCCAATCATAACATGTGTTGTATTGGCTACAAACACAAGTCATATAATAATAATAATAATAATAATAATAATAATAATAATAATAATAATAATCAATAATGTCTAATCTTTGTGTCGTTGTACAAAATAGGAAGGTGGACTAGATAGCTATGACATTGCCAATATTGAACGGAATGAGCTGAAGAACAGAACCCAAGAACTTGAAGAGGAGCTGACAGCCAAGAAGGCAGCACTGAAACAGATCAGCCGTGAAAATGCCGACTTAAAGGGGAGACTAGAGCTGATGTTACAGGATCAGTCAGGAGGCTCCGTTATCAAGGACCTCAGCAGGCAAGTGGAAGAAATGAGGGAGAGTTTACAGATGAAACAGTCGATCCTTCAGGACATAAACAAAGAAAATCAAGATCTCCGATCTAAGTTGGAGCAAGGGGATCAAAGCAAAGTGGCTCCTAGTAGTGGGCAGGTTGAGGAGTTGATAGTTGAATTAAATGCTAAGCAACAGACTTTGGATGAATTAAACAAAAGAAACGAGCATCTAGAGGCTGAAAATGTGAACTTAAAAAAACAGCTGTCAAGCTCACAAGGTGATGCTTTGCAGCCTGACTTTTCAGAGTTACAGAACTTGAAAGAGACCTTGGACGAGAAGGAGCAAGCATTAATGAAACTTCAAAGAGAAAACAGTGAGTTGCAATTGAGACTGAAATCATCAGGTGCAGATGAAGGCGGAAGTGCGAAGGCACAAGAAAGCAGTCACAAAGTGGATGAGCTTTCAAAAATGTTGTGGGAGAAAGAGAGTGAGATTGGAAACCTGCAGCATTTGAAAGCGCAACTTGAGGAGAGACTTGGAAGTTTGCAAAATGTTCAAAATGAGCTTGAAGAAAGTAGAAGGCAGGTGTCTATGCTCGAAGCTCAGCTAGCGAATCTGAGTGTACAGGATCGGTCCATGGAGGAGAAATCTGAGATGGAAAATCTCAGAGAGAACCTTAGACTAAAGCAGGAAACAATGGAACAACTAAACAAAGAGAATGAAGATCTTAAAGAGAGACTAAGCACTGTTGAGTCCACTGATCTTAAGGAACTCCTGGAAGAAAGTTACAAGAAATTACAGCACCTAAGCGAGGAGTCAGCTGCGAAAGATGAACAGCTTGCAAAGCTGCTGCCTGTCCAGTCAGAATTTGAGCAAAGTCAAGAAAAAACCAAAGAGCTTGAACAACAAATTTCATATCTGAAGCATCAACTAGCCTCGGCAGAAGACAACTCTCTTTCAGAATCATCCCAAATGGAAAATTTGAAAGAAAATCTGAAAATCAAACAGGAGACAGTTCAGCAACTTAGTGAGGAGAATGAGGAACTACGAGCCAAGCTGGAGGACATGGAAGATGGAAATAAGCTTCAAGAAGACATGAGGGCTAAAGTTGAAGAGCTTACAAGAGAATTGGACTATAAAAGAGAAGAGCTAAGTAAATTTAATGAGTTACAAAGTGAATGTGAAACAAGCAAAGCAAGATCTGCAGAACTTGAACAAGAGGTCTTGAGACTTCAGCGTGAAGTGGAGGCATTGGAAGACAACTCACAGTCAGAGTCATCTCTAATGGAAAACTTGAAAGAAAATTTAAAAATCAAACAACAAACAATGGAACAACTTGGCAAAGATTATGAAGCAATGCAAGAGCAGCTGACAGAGAGCCAGGGAAGCTTGGCGCAGATGTCAGAGCAGCTAATGAATAAGCAGAACGAGTTGGACACTGTGCTGAGAGAGCGGGACACGAAGCTTATGCAAGTGATGGATCAATTTGCCGAGAAGGAGGAGGAACTTGAGGACTTAAGGAAGAACAATGAGCAGATGACATCTCAACTAAAACAGTTGGAAAATGATGTAAGTTTTCCTGTAATTGTTTCCCATACTTTTAAATGAACAGCATCATAATTCGCTTGTTGTGGTAACTTGTGAGGCCTGTTACTTATACAACAAAAGTCCAAGAATACCTGTACATGTATATTAGTGTTTAGCCTGCATAGCTGGTGGGATTCATGAGTGAGTGATTTTTGGTAGCCAAGCTGCCATTTTATTCTCTCTTAGTCTTTGCCTGTGAGTGAATTCACAAGCAGTGAAGCCATGAGTGAAATTTAACTTCAGTCCTTACCAATTCCCGTGCGGCTTTGTTGCTCTTGGCTTCACCCCAAAAACAAACGTCCACACACTCTAAGTCCCATCAGCTATACAACGTTTTTTAAAAGTAAAGTATGTGAAGTCTACATGGCAGATGAAGAGTCTGATGCATCTAATGATAACCAGCAATTTTAATTTCACACCTCTTTCCTCAGTTCGTTTGGGAATATTTGATTAAGTGCCAGTTGTTTGCTAGCCTCATAAATGTTCGGGTCAGTACAGTAATTGTACAATCACTACATGTACTCATACCTCCCTCTTTGGGACTGGGTGTGCGGAAATATTTAATTATAGAGGGACCTTCACATAACATACTGTATGTGTACGTGTACCTTTGAAAATCTGCATGAACGTGCACTGTACAGTAGGTAATTTAATACCAAGACTTTTGACTTTTAATCCTCCAACTTGAAGTGGTAGTAATTAGATTTCACTGTTATTTAGGTTTCCATTTATCGCACTCAGTCTGAAGAACTTGCAGAACGGCTGAGTGGGTCCCAGGACCGCTTGTCAGAGCTCCAAGGAGCAGTGGAGAGCAGGGACGAGACTGTGCGAGAGTTGATGCAGAAGCTAGCAGAAGGTGACCATGAACAGAGAAGCATCAAACAAGAGACTGAGCAACAAACGGTGGAGTTGACTAAACAGATTAAGATTCTTCAGGACCAGTTACTGGAGGTTAGTGAACATTCCCTGGAGCCCAGGCGGCTTAAGTTATACAAGTGCATCATTAATTTTTGGGGTCTCGAACCTAGACAACCTCGTTCCCAGGATCTTCTCGCCCTATTGGGAAGATGAGACCCTGGGAACCAGATTGGATCCTAGACTGGTAAAAGTGATCTACAATAGCAATTTAACTGTTAGGATCGTCATTAGAAGTTACAGCTAACTTTTCATGCTGAAACCATGAGTTAAATTTCTACACTGGAGATAATTTTAATAAGCATATGCTCGAAACCTCTTATAATAAAGTTTTACGCGTGTATTATAGCCACAGTTCATGGCTAAAGCCGGCAACACGCTATGGAATTTTCATAAACTGATTGCTGGGGTTTGCAAAAATTGTTAATTGTGCCCTCTACCGTGATTGTGATTTTGGCCTGTTAGGATTTTGGTATGTACAGTAAAATTGACCTTTTGCAAACCCAGTCTCTAAGTCGACTGATGGGCAATTGGTTAATAAGGAATCAAAGCAAGTAATGTACATGTAACTATAGTAGGAAGGGTGAGAGAAACTGTGTTGTCACTGATGAATGCTTGTCGTTTCATAACTGATTGACCTATAAAATGCACGGTTGATCTTTTCATGCACTGAGTTATGGTTGAATTTCTGCTTGTCTGACTCAATCCACAAACAGCCTTGTTCAGTCTTGTAGCTGCCAGACTATCATCTCGCCTAGTGAGAGTGTGCGAGGCTGAACAGTGGCAACCCCCACTCCATCCTGGTTAGTTTTATCATGATTTTCAATATGGCCGCACGGGTTTTTTTAAACTTATTTCGTTTTGTTTGGTTGTTTAGAGCGATAGCAGCTTGAAAACCCAACAATCTGAAATGGACAAAGCTTCCAAAGAACTGCTAGATACCAGATCTCTGATACAAGATCTACAGAAAGAAGTATCAGAGAAAGACAATGTAATTATTGAACTGTACGGCCTGAAAGAAAAAGACGAGGAGAGCTACAAGATTCAAATAGACCAACTAAACCAGGAGTTGCAAGAAAAACGTAGAACAGTTGATCATGCCAATCAGGAGCTGCAAGACAAGAATGGAACACTTGATCAGCTGAATGGTGAACTTGCTGGTCTTAGAAGTGAAATGGAAGGATACAAGAACAGGGTAATGGAATCAGAAGAAAATCTTCGCGAAGTCCAGAGGTTGAACGCTAGCAAGGTTGAAAAGCTTCAGACTGAACACGAGGAAGAGTTACAAGCGGTAAATGCAAAACACGTGGGTGAGTTAGAGAATCTAAAACTGTTGATGAACAAGCAGATGGAAGAGACGGGACAAGAGGTAGATAAAACGAGACAGGATCAACTAGAAAAGTTGAAACAGCTCTACGAGAGCGAGGTTAATGTCCTGAAGGAGACTTTAGACAAACAGATCACGTTGAACGGTGATTTAGAACAACAGATGGAGAAGATGAAGGAAGAGTTCGACAATGACTTGGCACAAGCGAGAGAAAACATTACTAAAAAAGATGCAAGTTTAGAAGAGCTTAAAGAACAGCTAGAGGAGCTAAACTCTTCAAGTGCGAGTGAAATCAGCGAGTTGAGAAACGAGTTGAAGAAAAAAGAAAAGGAAATTGCCGAGCTTGAGGATAACCTGTCAAGTTTTGAAGAAGAACACACTAGTGATGTGGCACAGTTTGAGCAGAACTTGCAAAAACAACAAGAACAAACAGCCGAGCTGGAGAAACAGTTGGTGTTAGAGCTGGGGAACGAATCTGCAAAGTATGAGCAAAAACTAGCCGAGATGAAAGCGAATCTGGAGTCGCAGTACAAGAAGGCAATTCAAGAGCTGGTACAGAGAGTCAAAGACCTGGAGTCGGAGAACGAGAATCTACAGGCTACACATAGCCAAGAAATGGAAGGCTTCAGAGAAAACCTTGCTCAGTACACGAGTAATTTAGAGGAGCAGATGCGAGAGTTGCAGTCAGGAACCAAGGCAGAACACGAGAGGGAACTGAAAGCGTTACGGGGTGAACACCTCGAGGCTACAAAAGAGCTGGAAAAGAAAGTGAGGACCTTGTCTAAGGAGAAAGAGGCTTTGGAGATCGAAATTAAAAGTCGTGGCGACGGACCGAAAGGCGAAGATTCCGAAGAGCAGAGTGAAGTGTTGGCGAAGTTAAAGGAAGACTATGAAGGACAGGTTCAAACTTTGAAGGAACAAGCGCAGAGTGAAAGAGAGAGGCTGGAGAAAGAAGTAGCCGAGGTCGCCAGTACAAAAGATAAGGAGTTCATGGGAGTGTTCGAGGAAGTCCTCGAGAAACACCAGCATGAAATCGCGGAGTTGAAGAGTTACTACGAGCAACAGCTGTCAGAATCTGGCGGAGGACGACCAGCCAGTGGAGACGAGGATCCGACAGCTATCGCCGCTCAGTTGAAGCTGGAGAAAGAGAGGGAGATATCACAACTGAAGAAAAAACTGTTGCAAGAGAGCGAAGAGAGGATTGCATCGGTGCAAGAAGCCCTGCTGTACAAAATGGCGAAGGAAGAAGAAGAAAACATGCGTTTGAGAAACAAGCTAGTTAGCTTGAAAGAGGACCTTTCTGAGGTAACTAGCGAGAGAGATAGGCTCCTGAATGAGATCCAGGTGCTCACAGACACTCACAGGGTGCTGGAACAAAGGATGGTCCCTGTAGAGCCAAGCCTTACTCCTGTCTTGAGTCAGGTCGTGCACGAAGAGCCGCTACTGATGCAAGAGTCGGTAGATACGCTGGAGGTTTTACCGGGTGCTAGTTTTTCTGAAGGTATGGAGACATTTTGACACTTTGTAGGGCCAATCTGCAATAAATCGAATTTTTACCAGTTAGAGTTGGTTTCTAGTCAAACAAGTCAGCTTCGTACTAAAGTCGATTTTCGCCGCGTGAACTTTTTGTTGCCGGCCTCAGCGGATGACGTTTGATTTCCAACAATTTCTCCTTATCAATTCATATGCCATTTTCAAGTAGTACTCCAGTGGCGGTAGGCAAGCTTGGGCATTGTCTTGGTAATTAGCCAAATGGAAAGAGCTTATATTGAAATATTGCTATTTGAAATGCCAATGTTCGCAGTTGGATGAAAATTTCGTAACGATCCTATATTGAATCGCTGCGTGACATCCCCAATAATGGCTGGCTAGTTTTCTCAACAGTCGTGTCTCGCGCTGGCTTCCCACGCAAACATTCTTTTGGCTGAGGAGTGCGTGACGAACCACAAGAATGTCTGATAGAAAGCAAGTCTCGCGCTTGGCACACGCTCGCTTCACGCTAACGACCTGTTCTATCGAGATCCTGCAAACGGCCTTAAACGTTCGACCCTTCTCAAACTTAACTTCAGTGCGGAAAAATGAATGTTGTATAAACAAACTTAGGCAAAATATTGCGACGCATCACCGGATTCTCCTAACAAGAGTTGCCCAAAATGTTTGAAACAAGTTAGAATAATTTTGATATTGATATTGTAACTAACAGAAAAGTGTTGAATCTTCTCTTTTAAAGGTGCAACAACAGAGCAGTCTGATCTGGCAACCAAGCTCGACCAGATGCAAGAGTTAGTCCGACAGAAAAACAAAGTCGAGCTTAAACTTAGCCAGCAACTACAGGACATCAAGAAAGAACTCGAGAAGGAAAGAGAAACCTTCAGAGCAGAGTTGAACGAACGCGAATCTCGCGAACGCGCCCTGGAAGTCAGCAAACGACAACTCGAGACGCAGCTGACCGAGGTCGATAGGGAGAACTACGAGTCTATACAGGAACTTGGCCTACTGCAGGAGAGATTACAGGAGAGGATCCGGGTGGAGGGCGAGCTGAGAGAGGAGAAGAGCAAGCTGTTGAACGTGATCAAGGAGAAGGAGGGTGAGCTAGCCAAAGAGAGGAGCGAGTTGACGGACAGACTGCAACAACACGAGCAAGTCATAGAGGTAAATTTAGCTTAGTGTTGTCTCAGTTAAGTGAACATTGTAGAGCGTCTTCCTTGGAATGGCTTCCTGCAAAAGTGTTCCAAACCTGGGTCGTGCTCTGAATTTGCCGTGACGAAAATCTTCATTTTGCGATGACTTGGACGCGTGAGGGATAGGAGGGGCCCCTAAGGGGAAGGCCGAGAAAAACGTGGGGAAGAACTGGCACGAGATAAGTTGGGATGGGGCATTTGGTTTGCGGCAGAACGAAGAGCCAGAAAATGGGTGGCAGGGAGGTACTGGAGCCTTACAGGACGGCAAGCTAGTTCAGTTTTGCTAGGGCTCTTTGCCTGTGTAAATGATACAACATACTGTTAGTGATAACAGTGTGTTCACAGAAATGTTGTTTCCCGTTGTGCTGTAGTTACAAGTACAGTTTCGCGTCCGTATTTAACCGGTTAATTGCACGGCTCTATTTTTTTCGAAAAAGAGCCAGGCAATGCTAGAAAGTTATAGCCTTAAGAAGGAAAGAGAAGAATGGAGCCCTTTATTGATTTCCTCATCGGCAATATATTGACTCGTATTCAATTGCTCTCACGTAGGATTTACGTGACAGAATCTCCACCTCGGACTCAGTCTCGGATGACGTGCAGGACGCGTTCGGTCGTCAGTTACTCGTGTTACAGAGTCAACGAGATTCCCTTCTGCAGCAGCTTGAGCAGCAGAAGAAAGACCGCAGCTCTTACGTGGATGTACTGGAAGAGAAGAACGCCCTGGAGGATAGTTTAAGGTACAATGTAGCTGTATATGGGTGCCTGAACATTGCAAATGGGTTTGAAGGACACTCTCACCTCTCCATGGCTCTTTTGTGCGCTTAATTCTGTCCTCTGCTCGAGTAAGACAAGACCCCAAAAATTCCATACTGATGACGTAGCCATGCAAAGACCTGATTGGTCTGTTTGATCAGTTGGGAATTTTTATGTGGTAGTTTACAGCCAATCAACTTCGTTTCAAAGATTCCTGTTGTTTAACGTCACCCAACGTAGAGGGATTTATATTTTTTCGGATCGAATCAAAGTGGCTGTGGAACCACGAGCCGCAGGCGAGTGGTTCCGTAGTAAACCTTGACAATGGTTTGACGAAATTTATCATCAATAAGAGGACAGATGCTTAAACAACTAATGCCAATTTGTTTTTTACGATAAAAGACCCCTAACTGGTCAAATGCCGGGAATAAATGAGGGGAAAAGACGCGTAGACTTGCCGTAAACAAAGATAAGTGAATTTTATTCAAAATAACGCGAACATTGTCAATAGCTTTTCTCGCTCTTTGATTGGCTACTTAAAAAAGCTCACAAAATCTCATTGGTTAAAACGTTGACAGCTTGACAGCTGAAAGTTGAACTTGAAAGCTTGCATAAATTAACATTTTATCCGTCTGTACTTTAATTGATGATAAAAATGAGCCAACCAGCGCGCGAGAAATTAGACAGTTATTGTAAAATTTGTGTTTTATCTCGCAGACTTGAGCGTGAACGGTTGGCCGAAAAACTGCGCCAAAAAGAAGTTCTGGAAAGGGAGCTAAACCGTGAGAGAGCTGCTCTTCAGGGACAGCTGATCAAGCAGGCTAAACTGAACGAGATCATCCGACAAAAGGACTTGTTTGAAAAAGAACTCAGAAAGGAAAAGAACGAACTTCAGGTAACTTACTGTCACTTCAGTAAAAATAAGATGGGGTGAGATTGGTCCAGGGACAGTCAACAAAGATAGCCAAACCGATCAATCTATTTTCATGAAATGATTGAAGATTGACTTGGTGACACTTACATGTGTTTACAATGGTTTTCCCAGTTCTTCGCTAAGCAAGGATTAAATTGGTTTGAGTGGCAGATAAGTCCAAGTAGTCCTCGACCTACTAATACTAAAAAGGTTACGTGTTCATTCGTTTTTTTTTTTTTTTTTTTTTNCTTTGAAATAGGTTGAATACTCGTGCAACTTTTCTCTAACCAATCAGAACAAAGAGGTAGTCTTTTCGGCCAATCAGGTGGCGTTCTGTTTGTAGTCAGGTGATTGGCGCTGAAGTTGTTGTTGTCCTCACTTTTAGTGCGTTTTTACTTCCAACCAGTCCGTTTGAAAAGTTCTCATTTTAGCATTTAAAACATGACGTTTGTAACGAAAAGTCGGTAATACGCGCCAAAAACCAGAAAATTTGGCTTCTGGTTTACGTCCGTGTCCCAAAAACGTCTGTGCTGAAGCTTTCTAATTATTGTGATGAACACTAGCAGAGGAGGTTTATCTCTTTCAGGGTGAACTGGAGTTGATCGAGTCCAAACTACTGGACAAAGAAGAGCTACTCTTACACGAGAAAGAACGCCTTGAGGAGGAGATGAGACAAAAAGAACAACAAATCCAAGAATGGGAGCACGAGTTCCACCAGAAGGAGATGGAATTCCTGACCAAAGAGGAATTCATCAAAGAACAATACAACAAGAATCTTCTGGAGACCCGCAGTGACTTAGAGAACCAGTACTCTGCCTCGATGCAGCAGCTGCGGACAGATTTGGACGAGGACTACCAGCAGCAGCTCAGGAGACTGGAAGCTAGCTTGAACGATCATTATGGCGCCGAGATTGGTCAACTCAATTCTCGTCACCAGGAACAGGTGCTGTGGTGAAACGTGTTGTTAGTTGTGTCATATACAGTGTACTTACCTAAATAGAGCTATCTCAGAAAAAANGTTTATGGTGCATCTCAAATTTTCCGCAATCTTAACCAGTGGCAATTTGATAATTCTTTATTGGCTATCAACTCCAATAGTTTCATTACGAATAAGCGTTTCTTTTCTCAGTACCCATGCGATATCCATGCTGTCAACAAAAAGTTTGAATTTAACAACTGTTTCTCATGGTTAGAGAAATCATTGACTTTGATTAGAAGTGGAAGTTTGTTTCCAAATTTATTGCTGAGACATCCTTCCTCGCCAGTTAGATTATTACCGAGGTTACTTGACGTCTCCCTAAGTAGAAGAAACTCAAATCGAAAACTTGCATTAAAACAATACAATGCAGTGTTCTTTCATCTTTCGTAGGTAAGTTTGTGTTTTGCACTGAAAAGAGTGACTGTCTCAAAACAATTACAGAAACATGTAACCTGTTTCTTTGCTAATTGAGAACAAAACTTCTGTCGCTTAACAATTAAATCACACGTCTCCAGTCGCCTGCTGTATTGTTCTTAGCTTAAGACGAATAATTACCGAGGTTATGTACATTGTGCTTAAACAAACACAAAACAAAAGGCCCTGTCCGATTACAACACGCCTGTCTCAGTCGGTAAACAAAGATGGCGTCCTCTGGGTGACCGTCTTTCGATCTAACTCTGGCTTTCCTCTGTGTGCCTTCTCTTCCAGATAACACGAATGAACGCCGAATTTGAACAGAAGCTCTGGGAGCTCAAGAACGAGCTGGAAACGCAGCGACTGCAACAAGTAGGGACGATGAAGAGCGTGTTGGAGAGACAGCATTCGAAGGACATGGTCGAACTCGATGATGTGCATCAACAACACATGGATGGTTTGAGAGACGGTAAGGAAATGGAAATTTTGATTTAGGGAGCAGAAATTCATAAGCTATGTGTACCTGTTACGTATTCGTAGGCCTTGCTCATTACCGTTGTAAAATATGAGGAGTAAAAGTCACTATAAAGTAAACCTTCTTACATATTAACCCCGTCAACACTACGCTGGAGAAATTTGAAAACGGAGGTTTCACTCTGAAAACGCATCAAATGTTTTCCGTCCACACTACGGCGGAGGAATTTAAAAACGCAACAATCACCGGTCGTTTCGGATTTCTGTTTGAGGAAAACTCTGTCATGGAAATCACACGCTTATCGTCACTACATCGTCTTTGAAACGTTCGTTTTCGAAAAGCTCTGTTTTCGTGACAGATTAGTGTGGACGGTAGGCCTAACCGTAGAAATAAAGCTGCGTTTTCAAATTTCTCCGGCGTGGCGTGGACACCGCCTTAGATGACCAAGGCCATCGTTGTAGGCAATTGACAATATTACTTGTAAGGATGTCAAGACGAATTCTCTTGGTGATAATGCTCAAAGGGTTTGGTTTGAACTCAAAGAAATTGCTGTTAATTTACCCCGGATGAACCGAGGATTAAAAGAATGTGGAGCAGGTGTTACTGAGACATCTTGCTTAACGGGGCAGGGGTGGGGGTGGGGAAAGTTTCACGAAAATATTGTGTCTTTTCGGTCAATTTCAGTTTGTTTGTCTTTTGAGTTTTCTTCGAGAGTTTAGCCCTATTTTTGCTCCACGGCGTCCACACAAATAGACTTCGTCGGAGTTTATCTCGGCTTCCACAGCACTATATAACGACTAAAAGATTTGCTCCTCCCGGGCATGTCCATTGTAGATTTACCCCCTTCCTTCCCTCCAAGCATTTTCAAGTTGCCCCGTTCCCATTAAGACTCCTCGGTTGAGAGAGGTAATGTGAGAAAGTTATGTCTTCAGCAGTGACACACAGTACTTTGATCCTAACAAGCTCTCGAATCCGAAACGCTCAATTCTGTGTCCATCTCGATAATCACAAACGCAAGATTGAAGTCCGGTCCACGCCACGCTAGAGGAATTTGAAAACAGAGGTTTCACTCTAAAAAACATATCAAATGTTTTCTATCGACGCTACGCCGGAGGAATTTAAAAAACGTGACAATCACCAGTCATTTTGGATTTGTGTTTGAGGAAAACTCGGTCGGGGGANTTGCTCTCATTTCATGTCATTTTTATGGTAGTTAATGCCATTTCATTTTGTTTTGTTCTCTTTGCAATTTGCAGCTTAATTTAAGTTAAGTCTGAGATTCATTTGTTCTTTTCTCAGCCGGTTTGTAATCTTCATAATGCAAATAAGTCACTCGGCTTGTTTAGCTTCTCAGTTACTCTGAATAATTTTTACAATTTTGTTACGTCTACTGACTTCTTTATTTCGTTTTAGACCTTAATAGCCGCCACCACGAAGTCATGGGAGCTGTGAAATCACAACTAGAGACTTCCCATCAAGAGGACTTGAATGACCTCACCGCCAGATACCTGGCCGAGACTGCCATCAAGGTCGAGACGACCCGTCTGGAGACTGAGCACGAGTGGCAAGAAAAATTAAACGAAATGAAAGAAAAACACGAACTTGAACTTCAGACAATGGGCGAAAAGTTGTCACAAGTGAGTACGGCTGGTTCTTTTTCTATTTGTGAAAACACTCATCGCCCAGAATGCTATTGTTTTTCGCGACATGTACTTACAGTGCCCAATTTAATAAATTTTGAATGCAGTTTTGCCTCTTTAATACGGACACCAAGGGACAGATGTGATTTTCTGTGTTATGGATGCGTCCCCATTATAGAGGCAAAGATTACATGCATTATGTTTCTCTGAGAAGAAGGGGATTGTGTTCCTCTAATTTAGAGGTTCTTCTGTAATTCATAGGTACGACTTCTTCTCTGCCAGGTTACAAGAAAAAAACTTTACAACTTTCAGCGAAAACTTACCGCAATACTCTCACACACACAAACTTTTCCTCCAGTCTTGAATTCTGTTCTGTAAGTCTTAAATACCAGTTTGTGTGCGAAAAATCCTTTATTGAATGGCTGAGAAAATTACTTCATTGTGATTGGCCGAAAGCAGGCCAATTTATTGTTAATTCTTAATTAACGACTTCACGATTCGCCTTAAGGCTCGTGCATGTTTGAGAGAATTTTCAAATATCACCCGTTGTGTGAATGCCTAATTGCACTCGCATACATGCGATTACGTATACTTATTCTTGCGTTATAAGCCTGTATTTTTATTATAAGCCGTTATTAAACGTTTTTTCTTTCTCTCCTTTTTTTTTCCTTTTTAGTTCGAAAAAGAGATCGATGAACTCAAGGAGAAACATGAACACGAACTGAGCGAAAAATTGTCTCAGCAACAGGAACAGTTTGAACAAATGCGGGAAAAAGAGCTTCAAGAAATGACAGATAAACATCGGGAAAACTTGGTTGATGCGATAGAAAAAGGCGAAATGGTTGCAAGTGAAAAGCACCAAAGTGATCTTAACGCTTTGCGAAATAAACTCATGGAAGAATTCCGAGAAAAGATTGAAGAACTTGAGCAAAATCTCGACGAGCAACACGCTCAGGAGTTGGAGGAACTTCGCGACGAGCTCGAAAAGGAAAGAACAGAAGTTACTAATGCAGCTTTGGATGATCTGGGAAAGAAACACGCTGAAGAAATTGAGTTTATTAGAAACGAGCAAGAACAACTGCTCGAACAGGCAGCAGAGACGAGAAGACGCTTGGAGAAAATGCACGGAGAAGAAATTCTAGAAATAAACGAACAAGTGAAACGAGAACACGAGAAATTGACGCGGATGAGAGAAGACTTGGAAGCCTCGTACGGTGACAGTGCTAAACAGCATGCGCAGCAGCTGGAAAGCTTGCGGGCGCAGCTGGATAAACAGCGCGACGAATTGAAAGCAAAGCATTTAGCGGAGCTGGAGAACTTGAAAGCGGAGTTTCAGAAGCGGCTTGTTGAAAGCGATCAGAAGCACGCTGAAGAGGTAGAGAGGCTGAGGTCTGGCTTGGAACAGGAGAAGATGGAAAGAGAGCTGGATCATGTTCGGGAGCTTGAGAAATTAGCTGAAGACATGGAAAGAAGGTAACAAAATGTTCAGTTTATTGTAATAGAAGTTCGTGGATGTGGTTATAAGAGGCTTAATGTAACCGATTTTGGTCCTGTTTCCTTTCCCCCGTCGACGATTTTTGTGGTTACACCCATAACATGGAGTGTTGGTGGCTCGGTAAGGGCCCCTCGACAGCATGTGAGCAGGTTCTGTAATGCTAGGTTATGAACTACAAGGGCGGCCGCCTCGCATCAGCTCGGGTTCGCTTGTTCGCCCGCCGTTTTTTTCGCCTTTTTCGAGTTAGGAAGCTTGTTTATAAGCATGTTCATGCCGTAAGGAATATGAGTAATATACGATATATTGACAATATCTGCTTCCCAGATTTGGAAGGTGGGGCATAGGTGAAGTGGGACCGCGTTGGATCATATATTGAATTATCAAGTCGCTTTGGCAACCGAATGTAACCACCCGATTAAGCTAACTCAAGATTAGCGAGAATTTGACTTCAGTTTTGTAACTTGTCGATGACGTTTTCTGTTTGTGCTGTCTGCCCTTCAGTTTTGACTTTGGATAATCTCAAGCTAGAAAAAGAATAAGCAGTGAAAAACATATTTATACAGAAAAATTAATACATTGGTTGACTTATAACCCTGGATTAGCGTTAGCGTTAACCGATTTTCGAAAAATCCGGCCCCGGAAGTTTGTTATATCCAAATTTTGAGGACTAAATTTAAAAGATCTCATCAAGCAAGTTTGTTTAAGAAGTGTCTCGTCTTAAGGCATGCCACAGAATAACGTTTCATGCACTTGCGTCAGTTGTTTTACATTTCTTTTTGTCAGATACATCTCCAAGGAGCAGCAGCACGCTAGAGAAATAGGAGAGCTTCAAACTGAGCTGCTTAAAGTGAAGACAGACATGGACAAAAAACACTACAGCGAGCTGGAAAGCACTGTCAAAGACCTAGGCGGAAAGTACGAAGAAGATCTCGGGAAGCTTGTGAAAGAGCTCCAAGATAAACACGAACAAGAAATTGAGAGTCTAAAACTCGAGTTTGAACAGACAAAAGAAAAAGAAGTAGAAACGTGTAAAAACGAGTTGACAGAACAATTTGACGACGAGATTCGCTCGCTGAAGTCACGCCATGAGATAGAACTCGAAGATTTAAGAGGACAGTACCAAGAAGACAAATTGAAAGATTTTGCGAAGATGAGCGCCAAGATGGCTATGCAAAATGCACAGGCTTTAGAAAAGATGCGGCTGAAACTGAGCGCCACACACGAGAAAGAAATGGAGGAACTTAGAATGGAAAGTCAAAAGGACTACGAAAGTACAGCGCTAAGACTGTCCGCTCAGGTCGAATCCATGGAAATTGAACATCGCAAGGCATTACGGCAGTTAAAAATAGACTTAACCGAGAAACATCAGAAGGAAATGGAAGATTTACGGCAGGAGTTGAGCAACAAAGAGGAAGAGTTGTTAGATCTTAGCGAAAGCCACGAGAAAGAAGTGGAGACTTTGAAACACAGACAATATAGTGATTTGCTAGATGAAGTGTCGAGTGTCAGAGCGGAGCTCGCTTTACAAGCCGTGCAGAAGGTAGAAGAAGCGAAGTTAGCGATGGTGGAAGACAGTTCCAAAAAGGACGCTACTATACAAGAATACGAAGGAAAGATTCACGAAATCCTTGAGCAACACGAGAAACAGATTGAAGACTTAAGCGAAGAATACGAATCGCAGCTAAAAGAACTGAAAGAAGAACTGGAACTTTCTAAGCAATGGCTGACGTCGAAAGATGGCAGCAGCGAGGAAGAGTTATTTCAACAGTACGAGGGGAAACTTCAAGATATAAAACAACATTATGAAAAGGAAATTGAAGGTTTAAGAGACGCTAATAAATGGCATGGCCATGACCAGGGAGAGAATGAAAAGTACGTGTTGGAAGAGATGGAAAGTTGCCGCAAAGAAATCGACGAGTTGGGTGCTAGACTTGAAACCGAGAGAGAGCAATTTAAAGACGTTTACGAAAACATGAAAGTCTCACAAGGGGAGGAGCTTTCGTCTTTACGAAGCGAGCTGGAAGCTAAACATCAGCGGGAGTTGAGCGAAATGAAAGAACTTTTTGCCGAGAACGTTGAAGCGTTGAAGGAAGAACTACTTGTCGCTTCAGACGAAGCCAAAATGCAGCTTTTCACAGAAGAACTCGAGAAGAAGCATCAAGCAGAGCTTGACGCTCTGAGAGAACAGCTTACTACAGAACATCAAAATGAAATGGAGAACTTTAAGGAGGAGATGAGCGGAGAAGTTGAAGCACTCAGAGAGCAAATGCTTGACTCTTCCGAGCAAGAAAAGTTCGATGTTTTAAAAGAAAGTTTGCAGAAGGAACACGAAAACCAAATGGATGCTTTGAGAGAGCAGCTGGAAAAAGAAAACGAAGAGGAGATTGGAAAGCTTAAAGAAGATTTCGCAAAGGCTTTGGAAGCAGTGCAAGCAGAGGAAAAAGCGAGAGAGGAGAAGGCGCCATACTCTGGAGAAGACTTCGCCGAGCAGCTCGAGGCGGTGAAGCGACAACTCGAAGCTGAGCACTTACAAGAAATGGAAAAGCTCAAAGACGACATGTTACATGAAGTGAAAACTCTTCAGGAGCAAGTTCAGCTAGCCGCTGATAGTGAAGTGGAAGCAACGAGGGTTCGTCTTCAGCAGGAAATGGAAGGAATAAAAGAAAACTTGGAGAAAGGGATGGCTGAAGAAAAATCACATCTTGTAGCAGGTATGAAAAGGTTCAACCTGGAATTCTTTTAAAGCCACGATGCATGGTAGCTGAGAGAAAAGAAGAAAAAAAAGTTAAATAGACTGGTCTGCGCCAGAAATCAAATTCACAGAATTTCTCGTACTCTTTAGTCACGCTGTGTTTGTGCCAATTCAAAATGTCAGCTAAACAACGTGATTTTCTCGTTGAAAAGATATAAACATTTGTACGAACTAACAAAGAGTGATATGTTTGTGCACTTCATGCGATAGATTCATTTTCAAAAGTCGCCTCTTGGGACATCTTAATTTCCGGAATTGAATAAGAGGCAATAGATAATTGTTCTGCATTTGTTTCTTTGATAAAGGTATCTTGCATTATTTCCATAATTGCTTGTTAAATACGAAATCATTTTAAGCAGTAAACATGCGTCTGGTTTAATGACACAAGAATCGCGTTTTGCTTGCAAAATGTTGGATTTACGAAGTTAGACTTTGGATTTGAATATGTCAACGTTGTGGGGAGCATCTTTGCGGGCACAGCAAGCGATGGGACTTGGTCATTCTGTTGCTGGGCTATTTTGGAATGCCTCCAAACTTACGTAATACTCTTATTGCATCTGTTTGATTCATGAGTTTTTTGACGAAAATTTAGTTGAGCTAGGCCAATCATCGAGTTGAGCAAGAGCTGTCGGTAATTTCATCTTTAAAGCTTAAAGCGACCGACTCCAGATTTAAGGTAAAGTCGTTTGTCGCCATTTGTTAATACTGCGTACATTGGAGATTTTTCGCGATGCTGTACTGTTTGATCTCTTGTGTAAGTCATTTTCGATCGGTTGTCCAGCCCACGAGCATCGATTTGAGTAATTATTCAGAGTTAAAGAATAAAATTAGCGGCGATTGTTTTGTTGTTATGCTTTCGCTTTCCACAGAACACCAAGCGGCCAAGGCGCAAGCCCAAAAGGAACAGGAAACCCAACAGCAGAGCGACCTCGACGCTCTGCAAAAGAAACACGATGCAGAAATGAAAGCTCTACAGATGCGATTCAACGAAGAACTGGCTGCCGAAAGAGTTAAGCTCGAAGAAGAGAAGGAGGCAGATTTAGCTCGGTTACAAGAAGCACTCAGCGGCAGCCTCAGCGAACAACAGGAGTTGCAGTTACAAATGTTGAAGGAGCAACATGATCGTGAACTCGAAGCCGTCCGAGAGGAACTGGTGCGAACTCACATGGAAAAGTTCACCGAGATGACGGCTCGGTTGGAGACTGAACACGAGGTTTGTTTAATTCTTACGGTGACGATTTCGACTTAATCATTTTGAACGGGCCATAAGTTTGTTTTTGAGTTAATTTGCTTGAGTTTGCGGTCCATCAACGAAAGGTGCAAACATGTCGCAGAGAGCTTATGTAGTCCTTATGTAGTCTTTAATTTAACCGTGGTTGTTACTACGTTTTTACTTAAAACTCCGTTTTAAACTTGGAACAGTGAGAATAATGACGTTGGAAGTTGTTTGGATACGCGCGGAGAAAACGCTTCTGCCTCAGTGATCTACCTGAATGCAACTGAAAGTAGTGGGTGCGTGGAACGTTGAGGCTAGCAAGCACCAGTTGCGTGCCTTTATTTTGTCATGACATGCATCTCTTAAGCTACCTCATAAAGACAATTAGAGACTAAAACATTTTCCCTCTGTTTCTCAAATTCTAAAGGCGGACCTCGAACGAATGAGAGAATTTACCCGCGCGGAAATGTCTCAAAAGTTCCAAACGGAACTGGAAGAAGCTAAAGAAGTAGCTCGCTACGAACTGGAACAAGAACATTTAGAGAACCTTCGTCAACTCGAGGCCAGCCTGGGACAGAAACACGCGGAACAGCTGCGCGGATTGGCTGAATTACAGCAGAAGCACGTGGAGGAAATTCACATCCTCAAGGCTGGTCACGTGGCGGAAGTAGAACGTCTCAAGAGCGAAGTTGCGCAGGCGTACAACGATCAGCTTTCCGCCGTTAGTCTAGACGCCGAGAGAGAGCTTTCGCAGATCAAGGAAGAGCTCGATGTGGCTCACAGCAAGGAGATTGACGCGTTTAAGGACGCGCTTGAGAGAGAGAAATCACGGGTGCTAGCGCTAGAAGCGGTGCAGGCAAGCATGCAGACCGCGCACCGTGACATCGTGCAACGCATGCAGGAGA